ATATATATATATATATATATATATATACTCTGCCTTTGTAACAGTTTTTCTAGGGATCGCACAAGACCTGGCCATGTCCTTGGAGAACCTGCAAGGAGAGACAACCCAGATGCTCTTGACACCAAGAACCTGTCTCTGACACCATTTACACTGGTCCGGCTGGTTACACATTTGTCCATGTTGCTTGGCACCTCGAAGAACTGTGAGGTAAGTCAAATAAAAATAACATTATTTTCCCCATTAGTACCCAAATGTGACTTCACACAATTTATTTCCCATTGAACTTTTGATACTTCATCAAGTTACAACTACAAACATTGTAACAATCCAACAATAAGTCATTGTCATGCCATTGAAACGTGCTATGTAAATAAACTTTCCATGCCGCGCATATTATTAAAGTGAGAAAGGGGGTAGATTGTTTTCTATATATAATAATAATTTATTTACCATATGATTACTTTTACCATTAAGACCCACTGTTGCAGAAGTACAAAAATTTTTTGGTTCCTAGTATTAGTGACTTATATAGACCGTGAGAGCAAATCTAAAGCAGAATAACTAAGCTAAATAACTTTATGATTCACAATAAATTTTCATTTTAGTCTGTCAAGAACATCATCCACCCACCTGTGGAAGATGTTTCCTTATTTCTGAGTCAACATATAATAAAGGATCTCGATCAGTTGACTCAAGCACTGGCAAAAGGAGCGGATGATGCTGTTACCACTGCCCACCTAATTCTCAAATCCCTTCAAGAACCCACACAAACCAATCAATGTAAGTAGTGTAACACATCTTAGTTGTTGTGGAAACTATTTAATACATATATAAGCTGTTCAGCTATATGAGTAATTTACTTCAGATATATGTGCTTCCTATCTGTAGTGCTATGAAAACAGCCCTGAAAACAGGGCTTGTCTGATTTCTATATTTTTGATTCACTTAAATGTTTCAGATAACCAGACTAATTCTCATGACACAAGGACAATTAATACTGAAACCTTGTTAAAATGACTATATTTATGTAAGCAAAGCTACCCAAATTTTTCCAGCACAATCCAGACTTGAAATTTATTGAGCTGTGTTAAATGTTTAATATTCAAAGAATCTCCAGTGTCGCTGAATAAACTCAGGTGTGCAAGGAAGCTGAGGTGTAAAATCTAGCGTTAGAAAATAAAAACCCTGCCTTGTTTTGCTTCATTCTGTTCACTTCACCAGGTGATAAGCTCCTCAGGTGATTAGTCTGCATTGTGGAGTTGAAAATGCAAATGGTGGAACTAATCACTGTACAGTTTCTTTTTTTTTTTTTTTTTTTATTTCTTAACCTGGATTATCCACCAAGGAAGAGTGACTAAGATCCCTTCAAAGTGATGTAAAATACTATTTTGGCAATTTCTGTAAATTTGTGATGGAAGCTATTACTGCCATATGTAGTGCATAAAATTCATAGATTTAGGAGCATTTTTTTTACACAGGGGTAGGTGTGTTAGAGTAGATTTTCTAATAAATTGAACCATCATTTGACAGCCGTGTTTTGTATTCAATCAAGTTATAGATTAAAGCTGATTTAATGATCAGACATTTTAGTTTTATTCTTTCTCAAAACCTTCACTTGTTGATTGTAATGAATGTTTTACAAATACTATATGTTTTTCCTTAATTTAGATAACATTGACGCTAACCTGTCCACAAAAGAATCCCGAAACAGCTGGGAAACGGCTGTGGCCACGGACATTATGACTCCTAAACTGAAGGTACTTAATTCACTTCAATAAAACACATAGGCAAATATCAATAATAGGTACAAATGCTAACTCAGCAATATTTTTAGAATTATCGTGTCACTTTTAAAACCTAATAGACCATATACATAATAAAAAACATAGATATAACAGGTTTGTGTCTACATTGTGTGGTGAATAGCCAAACACACCACACAACCACATTTTATTCAGGAAAATTCTGTTGGTAGATGTTATATGTCACAACAGATCAAACCTGAGTTTAGAGTAAGTAAACATGGTCAACAAGAAATAAGCAGTGGTGACACTTTGTGGACACTTTGGGGCCGTGTCTGACTGGCCATTTCGAGTCATGCTGACACCGTCCTCGGGGGGCCTGTCTTGTGGGCTATCTGGTCTGAGTGTGGGATTGGGTGGCCCAGACCGGAGCAAGAACTGCGAAGGCAGGGTTGTGGTGAAGTCCCCCCCCCCCCTTATGAATCTCGACTTTTGGGGTCACATACAGTACCGGGTCCGGGCGACTGGTCCTCCTTTTGGGTGTCGGCATCTAGGCCGGGGAATATGGGATGTGTGTGAGGAATGCAAATTTGTGTAAGGTGTCCCCTAGACCTTGAGTCCCTGGGACCTATGGCCGGTCCCACCTCAGCATGGCTGGCTGCCATCGGAGCCTACTTGCTCGTCTCTGCTGCTCCCAATTGGCTTCGGTTGCGGCGGGTGGGGGGTCTCCTGGGGGGGCGCCTCCACTCTTCCCTCAGTTGCCAGAGAGGACACACAAAAAAAAGAACAAAAAAAAGCTAGCAGCACAAGAAACTTAATTTTGTTTTTATTTTTTACATATTGCATATATTAATGAATCACTGTGTTGCTTGAAAGACTGGTATTTTTGCTTTCAACTTAAAGGATTTATTTTTTTAGAGATTTTGAAATTTGTAGTTGGTCTTGTTGAAGAGTTCCTGTGACTAATTGAATGATTTTGTATTTATTTGTCTAGATTATTGATCAACCCCTGCAAGCAGCAAAGGACCATATCACAAATGACTCCCGTGTATCTTCCAACTTTATCCTGAAAACCACTCTTGGAGATGACTGTACATTTCTCACATCCCTGCAGCAGACATCCAAGGTCCACAGTTCAGCAGTGTGGAGCTGTAGGGAGAGGCTGTCATTGCTCAGCCTTACACACATCATAGAGTACAATGAACAAAAAGATGAACTGCCGTTGCTTTGGAAGTTCCTGCAGAAGGTGAATGTGTAGCAAAGTTTATTAGAAAAAAAGCCCCTAAGTTTACTTCACGTTAGATATGTTTTAAGTAGACCAATACAACTTATCAGCTACCAAACAAAATCTTTGTAGGGAGTAGAAATGGCCTAGCTGCTAGAGCAGAGCAACTGTGTTCTGAGAAGCCTTCAAGTAACCAGTTTTAACCTCACAGCATTTAAACTGGGTTACCACTGCACCCTAAGGGATGGGTTAAATTTTCCATTCAATTCTGTTTATTTGTATAGCAACAATTCACAACCCGTTATCTCAAGGCACGCTACAGAGACAATTCAATCAGATCATACAAGCAGGATATGTGAAAAGTTTCTGTCAATAATTGTTTGCTTGCATTTCGGTGTTAACTCTTCAGCAATTTTCTTCGCCAACCTCCTCCTAAAGACCCCCGCCCCACCCCACCCCCCGGTCACTAGATGAGCAGAAATATATCGCCTAATTCTTGGCCAGAGCTCTCCTCGCAAGCATTCTTAGATTTGTTGTGTAGATGACCAACGGGGAGTGAAAAGTCATGATCATCTGTCCGAATGGTCAGTTAACTGATTTCACTTTAAAACCCAATATATAGTCCCTGCTCTAAGTTGTGATTGAGGGTTTTAGGGGTTAGGGTGGACGTTCGTAAAGAGCCAGTTTGTTCCTCTGAATGTATGTCAATTTTGACTGTAAGCACTTATGTCATTTCCTGTTAGGTTGATTTAAAAAAGAACAAACAACTATAACTAAGATAAATAATTATTATGTATCAATTCAGGACTTACCGCTCTTTTTTAGGAGAAAGAATATCGTCAGATGAAGTTCCTACCAGATATAGTAATGTTGCAGAACCGTTTGGTGAAAATGTACCAGAATTCCCCTGAACAGATTGTGGGTTCGATTTCCGAATTTCTCATAAATCAAAAAGGTAAATTAAAAATACTATACAATAAATGTTAACACCCTTGATTTTCCTATCATTTGAATTCTTTTATTGGCTATTATTTGAATTATTTTTATTAACCATGATTTTGATATAACTTTATGCTATTCTTTCCTATTTTAGGTTCAGCGATAGGGGCGTGGTATGAGAAACACATTCAAATATTTCTGAAAACCTGGAATTTGCTAAGAGTGAATGTAACAACCAGTAAGTAAAACATTTTCAAAGGGGAAATCTGGATGGTAGCAAGTGCCACAGCTAGTGCAAATTGTATTGCCTAAGAATCTAATGTTGCATTCAGACTGCAACCATTTCATGCATTAGAAAAAGCATCCAATATCTCGATTTGGACCTGGTGCCCCTTGAAGTCATATACAGGGTACATCCTTTCTGTTTTATCGCTCGTCTATACTGTACTGTATCATAAGGGGAAATAAACTTTCCAGAGTTGACTGAGGCCGTCATCTTACGTATTATTCCGTGCTCCGAGGTCATCTTTACGAACTGACAAGTTGTCATGGTTGCGGGTTGTGGTGGTGTGGCCTTTGGGAGGACAGGGGAGTGGAAAGCCAAAACAGGTTGTCCAAAAGAGGGCAGAATAAGGAGGTTTTAATAAAGGCTGTCCACCAAATCTGAGAGGGATTTTCCTGCACAAATGGCATAAACCTATTCTGTGGGCCTAATTGTGAATATATATTTTTTTTATTTTCACATGTAGAATATTATGGAACCTTTAAAGGAGTCATAGAATGAATATATAGGGTATTTGGTGCTGGTCCTTAAAGTTTCTGAATAGGGTGTGTAACATTTGTTGGGCTTAAAATGACATATTTGCTGTGCTATGAGTCCTAATGCAAGCCTTGTTAAAAGCCCTAGAATGAAACAACAGGTTTTCTTCCTCTTATGGTATGCTCATCAATATTTAGATGGACTGTGCACTGATTGGTTGGTTTACAACAAGCGAAGCTGCTGAGCAAAGGCGCATCATAGCAACAAGCACTCACTCACTGAAACATCGAAATTGTTGATATGGTAGGGTGACCAGATGTCCTCCTTTTCCCGGACATGTGCTACTTTTCATAACTAAATAAATGCCAGGGGGAATTTCAAAATCGTTGAGGTTTATGGTCGACTACAGTGCAGCACCGGGCATTCGAACCGTGTGGTCAGCTCCGGTGCTGGTCCGGGAACCCCGTCGGGCAGGGGCAGGGGGCCAGCTGGGGACGGAGCAACCTAATCCGACCTAGTGATTCGGTGTTTCCCCCTGCCTGTCTTATTGGCCCCCAGCCCCTCTCTTCCGGCTAAGGACGGGCGGCTCATGGCTCTCTGCAGAGGTCTGGTCCAGCCAGCGGCTCAGTAGTCAACACTTCATAAAATAAAGTATTATGTCTAATAAAATATTAGACACAAATTACCTTAACAAATAGTATTTAAAAGGTTTTGTCTGAATGCCTTGCAACCCGATTTAAATATTGGTAATCTTGTATTGCTACTTTAGAAAATCAGAAAGCATGGATTTACCATTAAGGTTTGATTCAATGTGTAAGTGACCAACCTTGTACAGTCTCCCCAAAGTCAGTTTTTCTCTTCAATTTATAGCTAAAGGGCACACCATTTTAAAATTAATAATAATGTTGATAATAATTAACATTTAACCACAATAATTTCCATGCATGACGGCAGTGGAAATTTCCAATCTACCTTATGACAGGACTCAAAGAAAAAATGTTATGTTACAGCTTATAGCTAACAAAGGACACAATCAACATTTTGTATATCTATCTCTAACAATGGCATCCTAGCCTTCTGAGGCATAATTTAATCAAATAGTGTAGAACACACCTTTTAAAAATTGTTGATTATGATTTTAGCTTTAAATGAGTAGGTAGGAAGGTGGTAAATAGGAAAATGATGTTGTGATTCTAATGCAGGGCTTGTTAGGGTTAAATGAAAATAACCCCTTATTGTCCTAGAAAAAAACAGCAAAACAGGCAAGTTACTTTTCTGCAGAAAACGAAAGTGACTGGACCAGAGAGTAACGTTCCTATCAGGCCAAATGCCTGTAACTTAGTACAAATAAAATGATGACATTTACATTTTTCTAACAGGGCTGAACAGTGGTGCAGTTACCAGCACTGTTAACTTGTGGCATCTTCTCCGCATGCATGCATAGATTCTCTCTGTCTGGTCAGTGTTTTTTTTACCTTAGCCTATTAGGAGAATTTGTACCTCTAATTTGTCCGTAAGTATGTGTTTGTGCAAGTATGATTGTTTTTCCTGTGCTTGTTCTGTGATTGACTGTCCATTATGAGCTGTACCTCTTGCTCATTGACTACTGGAGAGAGGCACCTGCAACCCAGGACAGGCTTTTATGGACAATTGATTAGTTGATAATATTATAGATAAGTATTTTGTCTATTTATTATAAAACTGAAATTCTTCTTTGGAAGAATTTAGATTAAACTTCAAATCCTGAAAAAACATATGCAGAACTGTCCAGATTTTTCTTCCAGCATAATAAAGGAAGCTCTATGGAAAGATAACATTTGTCATTCAAATTGGTTCGATAGTATAGTTCTGGGGGGGGGGGTTCCACAGTCTTTTGTTTTATATTACTCTACATACAATTTTTTTTTTTTTTCCTATGGGGTATAAAACATTAATTATATAATGTAATTTTTTATTATGTACTATATACATATTTTTATTTTCAAAAAAAAGTTGAATGGTTGAATGTTGTATTTAAAAAATAACAAATTTGTATTGTATCTATAATGTTATATCACATATTCTTTATTTCTAATTAATAGATGAGCTGAAAATCCCAGAGGAATATTGTAGTAATGATTTGGACATGAACAGCAAGCTGCAGTACCTGCTACCTCGGCGACAGGGTCCAGGACTATGTGCCACAGGGCTAGTTAGCTACCTGGTGACACTGCAGAATGAGCTGGTGAATGCTGTGGAACGCCACACTGGAGATGACAGCAGGTGCAAAAAAGTATTTCATGTGAAACATCAGAACTAAACAAAAAGTTTAACAGTTAAAATAAAATGTAACTGTATCATAAGAAAAGAAAACCATTAGATTATTTAGTTAAAATGAATTACTAGTTTTGCATAATTTATGTTGTTTATTAGTTTTTGACAAAATAACCTCTTCATTCCAATGTCTTTGCTCTACCAGTTACACGGTTGCTTTGGATGACCTCATGGAGCAGCATGTGATCTGCTATGATGTGGAGAAGGACCTGCTTCCTCTGGTTTTGTCAAATTGTCAGTACAGTTTGGAGCGTGGCCGTGAGACATTATCAGAATATGATTTGCCACGCATTCAGCAACAGATCCTCACACGATTTTTACAAGGGAAACCTCTTATCACCCGCACTGTGAGTCACCTGATTGGTTTTATTATAGATCATTCATTAAGTATAGGCAGAAACTCAGAAACAAAAGCATGTTACATTGCTTGGTTTTAATTGTTAAAACTTTACTGAAAAAATAAATGATCAAGGAAAACAAACACATTGACTAGTTGCCAGACTTAACATTTTCAGCTAACCTTGGCATATTTCTAACTTTGTCTCTATTTTACAACATAAAGGTATTTTGCACCCTTGGTGTATCTTGGTGTATGAAACTAAACTGTATATGGTTTATTTCAGGGAATTCCCACTCTGATTAACACCCAAGAGAAAGACTATGAATCTGTTTTCAAAATGATCAAAGGAAAAGTCCACCAGGTAATATTGGAACTATGTGGTTAAAAGTTTTCATCAAAAGCCTGTAATCTAAGAAATCTACCTAAAAGTAGAGAAATATTAGTAATGAGCAATGAATAAAATAGTAAAAACAAGAAATAAATCAGGAGTCCTAATGTTGTGCCATGATGATGCCCTGCCATGTCAGTAACTATCCAAGTGATCTCTGATCTAAGACTTGTCAGAGAGGGCCTTTAGACTACTAAGTAAGTCAAGTGGCTACCACTACATTATATGTAAACAGTTATAATTAACATTAAAGCAAAAAAAAATAATATTTATGACTGGATGCATGCAGGCGTGCTATACACACAATAATAAAGCAATAAGTTTCAGATTACATAGCCAGGATGGGTTATCTGTCTTTCAGGTTTCACTTCCCACGCTGACCCGGAACAGCGTGTCCAGAGAACTTGACTCCTACAGCGAGGTGTGTGAAGCATTTAAGATTGTTGACCTGCTTCTTGGATTTCTTTCAATGACTGATGGTGATCCCAGTATGTCACTGGTGAGTTACCTCCAGGACATATTGAAGATGGGCCAGAACATTGAACATATAGAGAAGGTAAGAAGATTTGGGAGAGAAAGATATATAAATGCGGTTCTTTATTTCTAAAAAACTATTTATCTATAATCATCAAATGAGCAAATACATTTCACATTATTTTTTTCATACTGAAAGTGACATGTTTTCTCCAGGCTCTGAAAAAATGTAAGCTTCAACATTGCGTCTCTTTGTGGCAACTTCTCTCCTCCCTTAAATCGGAAAATATGCTGCAGCTTAAAAGGGTATGTGCTTATTTCACTGTAATGTCATTCAAATCTAAATGTGTTACATTTGTGATTTATTTTAACATTAATGCAAGCTTTATAAAAGAAAAAAGAAAAAAGAATACACAGTCGCACGGCACAGAACATAAGAGCCAGCAGTGCTGGGCAAGATTCAGCAGTACATCTGCACCTCAAGAACAAATGACAACTTTGATGAACAAAATGTTCAGATATTGGAGAACTGATGAGGTTTGAAGGAGGCCATCTTTCACAATAAGAAAAAAGCCAACACTAAACAGAGGGGGGATTGTGGTTTCAGCTTGCAGGCATCTACAATTCGGTTCAGGAACTCATTCAGAAGAGGTTAAACAAGTGCACTCATCATGGTTCAAATGGGCAAACATAAAACGAATCAATAGACTCTAACAACCCAGAAATGACGAGACTTTAAAGAGGCATTACAGAGTTAATGATACTGCCACCTGTGACCAAAACACAGAACTGCAGCACTCTTCTGCTTATCCTCTTAGTTTTTTTTTTTACTTTTTTCCACCTTAGCCGGAGTTGTCTGAGTTGAGTTGGATGCTGATAGCTTTTAAATATCCACAACATCGCTCTGGAACATAACACTTCTATTGTGTGCTATTTCAGACCCATTTAACATGGACGCACTTGACGTCACATCCACCGAACACGTGAGAAAATCTGACCCAAAGTGAATAAAGAAAAATAGGTGCATAGATGCATTAGCGCTGAACTCCTGAAGTGTCAGTAGATGTTCTAGTCATAAAGGGTAAAATAAAACAATTTTATAGACATTTAAAGATTTTTTTTTTTTTTTAGCAAACTTACATGATGTCTTTTTAATGTGCTTAGGAGGATGGACCAACATGTAGATTTAAAACATTAGCGACCAAAATTTAGTTCAGTCTAGTATCAGCCAGAAGAACCTACAGACTCTTGGGGTTCGTTTTGCGAAGCAAGTTTAACAAACTCAAATTCAAATCCGCAACTCTAAGCTGATCTAGTTAAGGTTGGGAACTCTGGTTTCACAACCGCTGCTATGAATTAGTTCAATCAACTCTAAGTAGATCCACTCAGAGTTAAGCACGTATGCAACAAGTATGAAAAGCCATTATCAGTGGAGCACTGATACAGTGAGTCACCATAACCACAGGCAAAAGGAAGTGCCTATTTCACTCCTATTGAACTAGAAATTTTAAAGCAGAAATTTAAAAAAATAAAAAAAAGACAGAGAAACAGTGCTACAGCTACAAAGAGGCGAAAGATGGCAAAGGAGAAGATAGTTGATCAATTTAATTCGTAAGTGGGCAATGGCAGGCCGTTTTTACATTTATTAAAAGCACTCTCCTCTCTGTTGTTCCATTTGTAGATCAGACCAGAATCTTCTTGATCAAAATCACAATAATATATTCTCTAAATTACATTTTTGTTGCAGAAATTGAATTTTCGAAAGTTAAAAACACAAAATTATACTCGTAAAGAATTAAGTTTTATATATCTAGAAGTTTACATATTTTAAGTGGTTCCGTAAAAATTCAAAAAATATCCACTGGACTTGGTTTCCAAGATTTGAAGACGTCTCGCCACCTCTTCAGGAAGCTTTCTCAATTCAAATGTCTGGATCAGCAGTGAGTTTGAGTCTTATATAGACAAAGCCTTGTATCGCTTGGAAACATGCAAATGGTAACCGATGAATGGGTCGTTTGGTTCCATCGTTAGCCTGTAATATCTGAAACCTCTCTATGGGCCGGATTTATCAAGATCCAATTTTGCGTGCAGTAATTTGCGCTTGCAAACTAGAATTTTGCGCGAGGGGCTGAACCATGGTTTGCGGGTGATTTAACAAGAGAGATTGCGTAACTGGTGGCAGGTGCAAAACTGTTGGAGACACCCTAGAGCAAGACTGACTCTCGCAAGACTCGCAAGACAAGGGTCGGTAACCTGACAACAGCCAGATGCATGTCTCGCTCCGCCCAGCTCCACTCACATACATCTGGGAACCCGCTCATTAAAAGTGATTTCCCCAACCGAATTTATGGTCTGTCCAATCAGGACGCAGGGTGGGTGTGTCCTGGAGTGGAGAAGCGACCGTGAGATTCCAACAACAATGGCGGCTCGCATTGAGGAAGCAAGCGTTAGCATTGATGCTGCTATTTCTTCTGTGTTGTCCAATCTATCTGATATTGTTTCATTAAAAGAACATCAGAGAACGGCTTTGAAGGCTTTTGTTGGTGGAAACGATGTTTTCGCCCTTCTCCCGACCGAATTTGGCAAGAGCTTGATCTACCAAATGGCTCCTCCTCTCACAGCGTCACGGGTTAGCTTCGGTGTGAGTGGTTGAAATAGCACGTCAATAAAGATGACAGACAAGTGGCTTATCCAATTATATGCAAGGAGTTTTGATAAGGCCCAGCCTTCAGTAAAGGCAATTCCTATGGCGGGTTCCCAGATGTATGTGAGCGGAGCTAGGCGGAGCGAGACATGCATCTGGCTGTTGTCAGGTTAGCGGGTCGGTGCTCCTGCAATTGCAAGTGTGGTATTTCCCCCACAGACCACCAGGGCGGCCGAGAATACCTTTGTTCAACCTGAAATGACTCATTTAATCATCCAAAACGTTATGGAACACATTAATTAACTGAAAAATGTTGCATAGTGTGCCTTTAAAGACCAAATCCTTTTAGCACGCTGTTGATAGATCAGTTTGTACATTTTTTAGCGTGCGCAGTGAAATAGCTCACGTTTTTATACACGCAAACCTTTGGTAGATCCGGCCCTATGATTCTGAGGGTCAGTCGTTAAAGGGGGGGGATTGCTGTTAAGGGGGGGATTGTCTCCTGTAATACCTGAAAACTGTCTATGATTGTTAAGAGTCCATCGTTAAGGAGGGCTCCTTAACGACCAACGTTTCAGTAATCCGTTACACCATTACTATATTGCAAGAATTCAAAAAGTGCTTGTTTTGTTTAAACAATAAGAGGATATCCTGAGGAAACTGTGTTTTTCTGACTGGAATAGTGGGCAGTTGAGGTTTGTTCCCATCACAGACTTGCATCCTAATCCCTCAACTCTTCACAGATTTTGGTGCCAACTTTCCAAATCTATTGCAGACTTTATCACACTGGAAAGCTCAGGAGTTGTCCTGAATCAATCAAAACTAAGTTTAAATAATTTTGCTTTTAACCAAATTCACCCAAAAGCATTTGCAACCACAACATTGCATAGCCAGGCTGCTATTGGAGTTTTCTAACTTACACACTACATTCTGCTATTCTGCATTACTTTCTGCTGTTTAATACACCCCCTGCTTTTTATTCATATATTTTCTGTTAGCCCCATATACTGTAAATATACTTTAACTCATTTTGTTTATGAAGGATCCATTTTCCGGATATGAAGCCGAGTATCAGGACCCACTGTCTGAACAGAACAAGATGGAGCTAAAATGCTTCATGTCTCGTTCCAACACTAACCAATGGCTGCTGGAGATGCATGAGTTTATCCAGCTGAATCTCGGGCGCTCACATGCCACACATCGCTACAAGCCCTCCTGGGGGTAAAATACACACAGCTGAATTTAATTTATCACTAGTAATATTGTTTTTATTTCTTTTTTATTTGTTTTATGAAGTTTTTTTTTACTTAACCCCTGCATTTAGAATGAAATACATAGCTCTTTCTGTCTACCTGATTAAAGTACTAATAATTTTTTCTCTTAATTAACCTAAAATACAAGGGTTTGTTTTTGTTTTTAATCTGATATTTTTTGTAGGGTAAAAGAGGCAATGCAACTCTACATGGATCAGAAAGAAGTGGAGGTTCCGGAATATTTTGAGGAAAACTTCCCTGAGAATCTACTGCTTTCACAGATTCTGCATGCATGGAAGTATGTGGCCACATCCAATCAAGAGTGGATGAACGAGGGATGAATGGGATGAGTTTATTGTTAATGTAATTGTTTATCCTTTTCTTATTGGGTATTTTACTTAAGTGAATATTCTTTTAGAGCTCTGTTTTTATTCTTTTTTTATTTTTAGGGGTGAAGTGTGTCACTGTGTGGTTTTACTTATATAATTATTAACCAAAATTGTTCTGGTACATATGATGCATTAGTTGAATACATTTATCTATGTTTTTAATACTGTTATGATCTTTCAACCTGTACTTTACACAGGTATTAAAGGGGAAACATTTTATTTTCTGATTTTGACTGTGTTAAATAAGATTAGTTGATCTATTTGAAATTATGACTTACAAAAATTGACATTTTTTTTTTGTTCTTCACCAAAACGTAATCTATCTTGTTTTTTCTTTTTTTTCATAAATTTAACAACACATAAGTTTTAGTGTAGTATTTCCATAAAATATTTTTGGTGTATTAGAAAATCTTTGACATGCAAATAACATATTTTTAACCTATTTACATTTTTACTTATCTTTTTAACAATATTATAACCAATGGTTAAACTTTATTGGTTATTGTCTATACAATTTAAGTGATTTTATTTTGTTTATTATTGGTAATTTTAACAATATGTGATCCTAGATACATAAAATAACTCCATTTCTTATTTAGTTTTTGATTATCATTTTTGATGTGAGGATGAAATAAAATTCTGAGAAGTCTGATAAATCACTGGATAGTGGAAGGCTATAAAGATCAGTTTAGTAAAATCAAGTAATTTCTTAAGTCAAATTATTAAATGGTGACAGGTTTTAAACATATTTACCTTATGAATGAAAACAATGAACAAATCTTACAGGGTCAGAATTTTATGTTGAAACTTAATATATGAAAGATACTTTTTAAATTTTCTCCATTTGAGGCCGTTTTTCCATTTTTTTGCTTTTGGAGGGATGACATTAGTTTTAACCATGTTTATGCTAACCTTTTGATGTTAAATACTTGTTTGACTTTATTGATCTCTCAGTGGAGAAATTTACACTTGCAGAAGTGTTATATAAAACTGCAGTGTTCTCATGAATACTTTTGAATTGCTTTATGATTATTTTACATTTAGTATTTTAGCTTGACTGTTTTAACAACTATATGATCATTGAAAAGAGACAGGAACTTGTCATTGGTGTTTTACCTGCAATATCCATAAAGTGTAATACTGCATCTTTCACTCAAAATAAAATGAATTAAGAATAATCTCAGCTTATATCTTGTCACGAGTCATAATATTCAAGATTGTATTTCCTACCTGGTAACTTATCTCTGTGGTTAATTTGTTGGAGATATAATTGTTTTAGCATGTTACATTTACCAAAGTAATTTGAATATTTATTTTTAGAAATGTAATGCTATGATGGGTTCACACATAAAATTGAGGTTGAGCATGAACAGAGTATTGTTGAACTACTGTGTTAGAATATCACAAAAACAAATTTATTTCAGTAATTCAACTTCAACTGTGGAGATTTTACCAGCACATTGCCCGCAGTCAAAAAAAAAACACAAAAAAACACATTAAACCAAAACAAATGTCTTTTCAGAAATCAGAATAACTTTCCCAATAATTTCTTTATCATGTTCTTCTGTGCATAAAATACAATATTGCATTTAGTTACAACATTGAACCAATATTTTAGACTTTCTCATCTGAACTTATGAGAATTCTTTTTTCCTGAAATACCCAAATTTCAATATGCATAATCATGTTAATGTGTATTTAAAAAAAAATAAAAAAAAGATTTTAGGGGCTGGCCATCACAGCTACCAGTTTGCTGTTTTTACCTTATCAAGTTGAAAAGAAAAAGTTGAAAAACTGTTTTATAACTACAAAAAAAAGTTGACATAAAAAAAAATATATTTATACTACAGATTTTGGGTCAGGCTGTTTTCCACATTATGAAAACTACACCCGAAAAAATTACCATCAATTTTATAAATTGAAAAAGCTGAGGTTGCCAACACTGTGAAATAACCTTGATTATTAAAAAAAAAACTAAGTGCAATGAGCACAGCTTTTCTTGCAGAACCACGTTGTTTCTACATCATCAAACCAAAAATCAAACAGCAGAGGGTTAATTGGACACTCCTATTTAAAGCAGGGATCCCTCAGTTAACATGTGGGCAGAGGTGCAGGACTGTTTGTCAGTGTTGGTTCTTCATTCCCTGTGGTTTTCCTGGTTTCTTATCGGATGGCTGCTGTTGACCCCGTCCAGGCCCAGACATCCCTCTGCCACGGCCGCCAAACACACCTGCAGGAGGGACGGCAGACAAGAGGTGTTTAAGCTCTGAAAACCAATCACTTCTAGGTTGATGAAGAGCAACAGTAAAGCATTTTCAATTAAAAGAAAACAGTAGCAAGATTAAGGTGCATTTTTAGCAGAGGGATGAGAAAACAATCAAGAAAAAGTGATTATTTTCACCTCGGCCGGGTCCTCCTCTTCCTTTCCCCTGCTGTTTATTCTGCTGGGATCCTCCACGCCCGCGCCCCTTTGACATCACCTCCTCCTTCACCATGTCGATGATCTCATCAGGGATTCGTAGGTACTTGATCGTGCTGCCTCGGATGTAGCACTCAGGCATCCTCCAAAACTTGTCTCCATCCTGTGAAAGGGAAATGACTCTTATTCTCAACCAAAAATCATCCATCATCAAGCATTGGTTGTTCTAAATAAAGACTAAAGCCCACAATGACTATGAAAAAGAAACAAAGCCCAGTAATCCTGGAAAAAATTTGGAAGTTGGATACATGAAGACGAAAACAACTGAAGTTTCTTTTTAGTCTTTATAGGGGGACTTTGGTATTTTGAAATAGGTTGAGGTGGGGTTCAAACAATTATTTGTTAAAATATAAACAGTTATGTTTCTTAAGGCGCATTTACACCAGAGGTGCTGACAACTGGGGTGCGGTGGATTCACATAGAATCCCTACACAAAACGCACGATGAAGGGTGATAAAGCGTCGAACTCCTGAGGTTAGAGGGTTCACTGCGCCGCCCTCACCTCGTGGTACTAGATATAGCTGAGGTGTTATCAACCTTATGGAGAGAGAGAAGAGGTGATCGCTAAAGATGAAACAAGCTACACTTTTCTATGAAATCGCGACACGGCAGCCAATCGTGGACTTGTTGTAGGCTTTTTTTTACTTAAAATAGAATAGAGAAAATAATGTTAAAAATGCTACAATACGCTCAAAGGAAGGCATTCGGCTGCGGCGGGTAGATGTAAAAGGAAGTCCCACCAAATCAGAGCTGCATCTGGATGAACCAAAGTGGCCTTTATTTTCAGAGCTTTTGGGGCTTTAAAAAAAATCATGGTCTCCCCAAGGCGATTAAAAAGTTTTTTTTTTTTTTTACAAGGAGTAATTTAGAATTAGTCTATAATGTGAAGTTTCACCCGTGCTTTTTATTGTGAAATGCAGACAGAGCGCAAGACCTTGACATGCAATGACATGGGGTTGCTGAGTTTTTTTTCACATCAGTAGAGTGTCAGCTTCACACAACTGAAGCTCCTCCTATTTGATGATGCGTCCCAGGGTGTACACACTGTGCATCTAAAATGCAGAGCGGTGAACTACCTGCGGGGCTCACGGAAATCACCGCTGCCACCGCCTCCTGTGTGAGGATTTTAGCTTGTGGGAAAAAAACAAAGTTGCACACATCAGAAACTACTGAAATCCTGCATTAAATAATTGCAGGATTTTTTTAAGACATCAAAGTCAAATTCCATAAATATCTTTACATCTTTAAGGGTTCAAATTCCCATAGCTGTATTGATCTTTAAGCAAACACTGTAAAGTAGTAGTGTGGACATAAACCTATCAAAAAGCAGTCAGTCCAAACATAAATTATGAATAACCTGTAAAATGTAAGAGTTGACCTGTAAAAACTGAATCCTTATTTTCAATATCAGGGCACTGATTGGCATAGTTGCAGGGCTCTCGCTTTGTTTACATGCACAAATTTTCTTGATCAAGTTATAATGTTTGGATCAAAATATGAGTTTATATATCAGCATAACCCAAAACTCTTAATTGGAATAAAGATCAGTCATCCCTTGACTCTGATTGCTTATGTCACTGTGAATATAGCCATAGTCTTGTTTGTCTACATAAATTACATGTTTATGAACCATAGCTTTACCCTGGACGTGCAGATGACTTCTCTCAGGTTTATATTCATCCAGTTGTCACAGCTCACCAGGTGACCGTTGTACGTTTCTCCATTCTTAAGCTCTACCAACTGGAACATTAAAAAGAAAAAGAATTTATCCAAAGTTTTGTAAAATAACACAAACCGAATGCAGGTCATCTGAAGACATTGGTAATTTGGATTAATAACATCATGTGAATAGTCAATCCTCAGAACACAACATATAGGATAATATAAAATATAGTTAGGATTACAAAAAAAGCTGATAAGTTATGCTTGTCTTAAACTCCTTAAAAACAGCCAAATATTTTTTTTTTCACAGCTAAAGTCGTAAATTTATGGATAATCATTAAATGCTGCAGAGGTATTGCTGCACTGTATCTCCTTACCATGGGATGATTCTGAGCAGTTTTCAACAGAGACAACGGAAGCTGATGAAAAACAAGAAAAAAAAAGAAACAATTAAAAATATACGTGTCTGCTGCTTAAAACACAGAGAACGGGTTTTTCCATTAATGCCTAGTGACTCTTGTAAATACGTATTACAAATAAACCTGAAATATAAACTTTATAGAACTACACTAAATATTTATAAAATTGTAGACAGCTATTTAACAGAAAACCTGCTTCTCCACTTAACGAAGACCAAACTTAGCTTAAGATGCTAGTATAGGCTAGCTGTCGTCTCAACAATTTACTGATTTACACACCAGAAAACGCGGTTACTACCGACCGTACTGAAGATATATTTTTTAAATAATCAAACTTAGCCACCATTAAAACCCGTTTGTTGTTTACTCACCATTATGAATGATTTGTATTATATTTTTTTGTCTCTTGCTTAGTACACGACTTTTAACACCTACAATTCTTCTTTCCTTCTTCTTCTTCTTCTTCTTCTTCTTCTTCTTCTTCTTCTTCTTCTTCTTCTTCTTCTTCTTCTTTCATTCCACTCTTCTTCTTCTTCTATTTTTAATCTTCTTCTTCTTCTTCTTCTTCTTGTTTTATTGGCGACTTGCAACCAAATGGAGCATTATCGCCACCTACTTGTTCTTATTTATGTTTCCTTAAATCCTTAGGTTTAGTCCAGTTTGTTGAAGATAAGATGACATGATTTTAAGTACTGTCTTTCTGGATTTATTTGAGAAGATATTTTTAATGTCCAGTTGTTTGATACCTTCATGTTCCAGTACCTTCCTTAAATCCAGACTAGGACTTTCATATTGAATACACTCAAACAGCACATGTTCTATGGTTTCTGGTTGA